AGTAGGTCAATGCTGGGGTGGCCATGAGTGTGCCACTGCACTCCAGCCTGGGCGACAGCGTGAGACTCCAACTCAAAAAAAGAACAATTCAACAGCAAATGAGGTACTAATTCAGAGTAATTATTAAGATTTTCTTCCATTGTTAATCTGTCTGAACTTGTAAAAGTAACATTTGCACAGATAACCTCAAGACTTAGAGATATTGGAGAATGTTAGTATATTTTTACACTGTAGTTTGTACTGTGAATAAAAGGATTCCTTTTTTGTAGGTGTACCCACTATTTTGAATTACCCCCCAAAAATGTTTATTGAACATCTGTTCTGTGTGGTACCTCAGGAGGGATAAAAATGCATGGTCCCTTTTCAACATTGTTAGTGTTTTAAGGCTACAACCAGTTCCTAAAATAATGTAGTTGAATAAATTATAAAATAATGTAGTGAAATAAAGAAAATTAAGGAAGCATTTTGAATTTATAGACTCTCCTTTATTGAGAAAACCTGACTTTGAATCTCATTGTATTTTTTTATAAAACACCTAAATTGATGCATTTCAAAAAAGAATACCCAGTCAAAACATTTCATTCTTTAACATGTTCTGATTTTGTTAGAGAATTGGTGGAAATTTTTCTATTTTTCTTTACAAATACAGAATATAAATCGTATGAAGCAGATCTCCTCTATCACCAATCAAGAGCTAAAGATGATGCAGGAAGACCTCAATTTTAAATCTACTGAAGTGCAGAAATCACAAAGTACAGCTAGGAATTTGACGTCAGGTGAGAGAATGCCCTAGATTTTAATGTTCTTTTTTTTTCTATAACAAAGTGAAATTTTAAAAATACATCATTGTTACTTTTCAATTTTCTTTGGGAAGCCTTATTGACTGAAGTTATAATTCATGATTGCCTATCAACCTAGGCATTTCTAGTCTCAAAATTTTGTGTGACTTTTCTCATTCAATAAGCAGTATTTCTTTGGTATATTCAAAACAGTATGGATCGAATACTTGTTTCATACTTGTGCTGTATAGCCTGGGTATTGTCAAAGATAAACAAAGCTGGATGCTAGTTTAAATAGTGTTGCATTAGGGAAGGAGAGTCCAGCGTGAACTGTATTCAACTTTGATCTGTACAGAGATGACTGGGCATTTTAAAGGGAGAATGAGGGAGGAGTAAGGGGAATGAAAAATTACAAAGAACTGGTCGGTGTAAAAGCTGATTAAGCCAACTGTGGCTGTTAGCTGGCAGTTACCAAATTAGGATTCTTTCCCCCTGCAGAGACTGGGAGACTGAGGCCCTAACTTTCCTGCTGATTACATGTTAAAAGAATGGCTTTCAGGTCCTTGAAAGAGACACTCCTGGGTTGTGGGAGATGCGTACACATCTCAAAGGAGGAGAGGAAGGATTCACAACTGAAAGCCCTTTTTGGTAAATGCTTTAAGGGCTGTAGGGGCCTGTTGGCTGATGTTCGCTAGAACAAACAGTACATTCTTTTGGCAGCCTGGAGCTCCCGCAGGCAAGCACTTTGAGGAGGGCCTAGGGTCATCCTAGGGATGCTCCCCTAAGCTGATAGAAACTATGTTAGTGTTTGTTTAAATCTTTTTATGTGAATGGAGAGGGAATCTGGAGTTTTTTTAATTGGCAGAATTTGAGGCCTAGTTGAGAAGAAGGCTTAGAGCAGCCTGGCTAGAATTTGGTCAAGGAAAGAATTTTTGTCAGTATACAGAGGCTTAAAAAAAAATCCAATGTGCTTCCCCAAGAAGATTTCAACCTGGTAGAATGACGTACAGTTATAATACAATGAAATAATGCTATGACGGAAGTAAGCATAAGGAGCAGTGAAAGTACGTAGGGCACATATCCAAACCAGTCTTGGAAAGTTAGGGGAAGTGACCTAGGGAAGATGAAGTTTAATTTTAGTTAGCTTCAGCCATGCTTACTAGCATGAGACAAGAGCAGCATTGTCCAAGAGAAATCTAACGCCAACCACATATATAATTAAAATTTTCTAGTAGCTATGTTAAAAAAGTAAAAAGAAACAGGTTAATTTTATTTATTTTTAATTAAGACTTTTTTTTTATATATTTGGGGGTACATGTGCAGATTTCTTTTTTCTTTTTATTTAATCTTCAAATATTTTTTATTGCACACTCTACTGTATACCTCATTAGATTAAAACTCACATTTGTTCAAGATTTCTTGCATGTATATGTTATATGATGATGATGTCTGGGTTTTTAGTGTACCATTATCCAAATAGTAGATTTTATAACCAATAGGTAATTTTCAACCCTCACCCCCCACCTTTGTAGTTTCCAGTGTCTGTTATCCCACTCTGTATGTCCATGTGTACCCCTTGTTTAGCTCCCGTTTGCAAGTGGAAGCATGTGGTATTTGACTTCCTGTTTCTGAGTTATTTCATTTAAGATAATGTCCTCCAGTTCCATCCATATTGTTGCAAAAGACATGATATCATTCTTTTTCATGGTCAAGAAGTATTTTATGAGGCGTGTTTTACACACATACACACATACACAATTATATTTTGTTTATCCAATCCTCTGCTGATGGACACTTAGGTTGATTCCATATCATTACTATTTTGAATAGTGCTCACTAAACATATGAGTGCGGGTGCCTTTTTGCTGTAATAATTTCTTGCCCTTTGGGTATATACCCAGTAGTGGGATTGCCAGGTGAAATGGTAGTTCTGTGTTTAGTTCTTTGAGAAATCTCCATATTGTTTTCCATAAAGTCTGTGCTAATTGACATTCCCATCAACAGTGTGTTAGCATTTCCTTTTCTCTGCATCCTCCCCAATGGTTTGTAGTTTTTTGACTTTTTAGTAATAGCCATGCTGACTGGTGTGTGTGGTATCTCACTGTATTTTGTTTTTTGAGTTGGAGTCTCACTCCATCGCCCAGGCTGGAGTGCAGTGGCACGCTCACAGCCACTCCAGCGTCGACCCGTTGGGCTCAGGATATCCTTCTGCCTCAGCCTTACAAGAAGCTGGAACTACAGGTGCATGCTACCATGCCCAGCTAATTTTTTCATTTATTGTAGAGATGAGGTCTCGGCAAGTTGCCCAGGCTGTTCTTGAACCCATGGGCTCAGGCAATCCCCTTACCTCAGCCTTCCAAAGTGCTGGGATTACAGGCTTGAGCCACTGTACCTGGCCTCATTGTGGTTTTAATTTGCCTTTATCTGATGATTATTGATGTTGAGCATTTTTTTCATCAATGTGTTGGTCCCTCTATATCTTCTTTTGAAAGATGTCTATTCATAACTTTGCTCACTTTTTAATGGGGCTTTTTTGTTTTTTTTCTTGTTGAGTTGTTTGAGTGCCTTGTAGATTCTGGATATTAGCCTTTTTTTGGATGCACAGTTTGCAAATATCTTTCCATTTTGTAAGTTTCCTGTTTACTCTGTTGCTTCTTTTGTTGTGAGGAAGCTTTTTAGTTTAATTAAAACCCATTGAAACAGATAAATTTTAATAATATATTTTATTTAAACCAGTATATCAAATATTATTTTCTTGACATGTAATCTATATAAAAATGACCAAAGAATGCTGAGCATAGTGGCTCCTGCCTGTAATCCCAACACTTTAGGAGGCCAAGGCAGGAGGATAGCTTGAGGTCAGGAGTTCAAGACCAGCTTGGGCAATATAGTGGGACACTGTCCCTACCAAAAAAAAATTAGCCTGGTGTAGCTGCACGTGCATGTAGTCCCAGCTACTTGGGAGGCTGAGGCAGGAGGATTCTTTGAGCCCAGGAGTTTGAGGTTATAGTGAGCCATGATCATATCACTGTACTCCACCCTGGGTAACAGAATGAGACCCTGACTCAAAAAACTAAAAAGTGATCGAAGAGATACTTATATACTTCCAAAATTTCAGTTTGGACTTGACACATTTAAACTGCTCAAAAGGCAGCTAATGGCTGCCTTTGGGATGGTGCAAGTGGGGTTTAGAAACAAATACACAAAGTTGAGCCTAAAGAGCCTTGGATAAAGCCATGTAAATATTTGTAGGCATTTTTTTGTTTTATGAACTTTTTAATGAACTTTTTTGGTTTATGAACTTTTTGGGTTTGAACTGATGGCTTCTTACTATGGACGTTCTTTGTGTTGCTGTGTGGCAACTTTGAATTAGCTGTGTTGTCTACTTCCAATTATCTGACAGTGAGATCATGAGAAATGGAGACCTAATTACTATTTGCTAACATAAAAATGTTGAAAATTTCTTGAAATGGAATAATGGATCTACAATACTTTATCTGGATTCCTAAAATCTAAAAAGATCTTAGCAATAACCTAGCCTGATCTGAACTGACCTGAGGCTATTTATAGTCTTTAATTATCTCACCCAGTGTGACTTTTTATACTTTTGCTGCAGAAATATTCATGTGCTTGATGACAGGGTACTCTCTTAAGCCCTGCTATGGGACATATGTAATAATTAGCATATATGCTATATTACTTCTCTAAAATTCAAATAATTCTTCATTCTAAAACCTAATACCCAAGAGTTTTAGATGAGGGATTATGGACCTATAAATGCATGCTGAATGCTATTAACATACCATTGAATTAAGAGTAGTGATAGGCCAGGCATGGTGGCTCAAGCCTGTAATCCCAGCATTTGGGAGGCCAAGGAAAGAGAATTGCCAGAGCCCAGGGGTTAGAGATTAGTCTGTGTAACTTGGCGAGACGTCATCTCTACGATAAATGAAAAAATTAGCCATACATGGTGGTGCATGCTTGTAGTTCCAGAGACTTGGAAGGCTGAGGTGGAAGGATCACCTGAGCCCAGCAGGTCGAGGCTGCAGTGGCTGTGAGCGTGCCACTGCATTCCAGCCTGGGTGACAGAGTGAGACTCTGGCTAAAAAAAAAAAAAAAAAAAAGAATAGTGTACAATAGCTGTTATTTCATACATTTAAGTAAAAAAAGAATAGTGATATAGGTGTACAATAGCTGTTATTCCATATATTTAAGTAAAAAAAGAATAGTGATATAGGTGTACAATAAGCTGTTATTCCATACATTTAAGTATATTTTATGCCCAGATTTGTTTAGCGTTTGTTTGCTCTAGTTTTATGTGTATATCTGAACTATATGTCAAGCAACTAGAGGAGGTACATTCTTGATTTATACTTACTATTGGTTGGATGGTATCTTTTTTATTGTCATAAAAGCACATAATAAAATTTATCATCTCAGTTGTTTTTAAGTGTACAGTACAATGGTGTTAACTATATGTACATTGTTGTACAACGATCTCTAACTTTTTCATCTTGTAAAACGAAAACTCTATACCTTTGGAACAACAAATCCCCATTTTCCTATCCCTGATCCCTGGCAATCACAGTTCTACTTCTGTTTCTATGAGTTTGACTTCTTTATGTATGTATGTATGTTGGAGTCTCACTCCGTTGCCCAGGCTAGAGTGCAGTGGCACACTCACAGCCAACTCAGGGTCGACATGCGGGGCTCCAGTGAGTCTTCCGCCTCAGCCTTCCAAGTAGCTGAACTACAGGTGTGTACTACCACACCCGCTAGTTTTTTGATTTATTGTAGAGACGAAGTCTCGCTAAGTTGCCTGGACTCATCTCGAACCCACGGGCTTAGGCAATCCTCTCACCTCAGCCTCCTAAAATGCTGGGATTACAGGCTGAGACACCAAGCCCGGCCTAGAATTTGACTACTTGAAATACATCATATAAGTGGAGTCATACAGTCTTTGTTTTTTTGTGACTGACTTTCTTCATTTAGTATAATGTCCTCAAGATTTATCCGTGTTGTGGCTAAAAAGAATTTCCTTCGTTTTTAAGACTGAATAATGTACCATTGCTTGTATGTACCACATTTCTTTATCTATTTATAGATAGACATTTAGATTGCTCTGAATGAACCTCTTAGACATTATGAATAATGCTGAAATGAACATGGATGTGCAAATGTTTCTTCAAGATCCTGTTTTCGGTTCTTTTGTGTATATGTGACTATTTAAAAATATTTATTTATTTTTCTATAAACTAAATAATTTTGTGTTTTTATTATTCCATGTAGAAAAACTCTGTTTTGTGTTTTAGACCACAATGCTTAAGTTTTTCATTTATCTAAGGTCAATATAAATTCAGCAAGTTTTTTCATCCTTTAAACTATCTTTGTATAACAGCTGCTAAGAAATGTATGTTTTTTGAAAGATGATAATCAATATTAGGAAACAAATTCAATATTCAGGATTTTGTATATTCTTTTATACTTTGTGTTTTAAAAACAAAAAGTAAAAAAAAAGCAAACAAGAAAAACTAGTCATTATGTTTTCTCTGGAGATGTACCGTTTGAAAAAAATTGGAACCGGCTTCACTGGAGATAAAAATTTAACTTATTACAGTGATAAGGATTTTGCTGGAAAGTTTTCTTATTAAGGGTTGGATTATCTGACCCGTACAATTAATTCATTTACAGGTTATTTTCATGTTAATTTAAACCAAGCATACTTCTTCTTCTTTTCTTTCCCTAATATAATCCTCCACCTCAAGAAATTTTTTGTATCTTGAGATCACCATAGGAAGTTTATAATATTCTTGTTTACTTTTCAGAGAGAGCAGATTTTATAGACCCCTTTTGTGAGTTGTCTCCCTTTACCCTTGAGGTTATAAATGAAATCACCTGATTTTCTTAATATACTGCATGTTTTTTAATGACACAGAATTACCCCTAAGAGGGCAAAATTGCTTTTGGGAGAGAGGATGAAAAAATTTAGCTATGGTTTGTGGCCCTCCAAAGGGTCATTTTCCATAAGTAAATACATGCTACATCTGTGCTATAAAAATTTCAGGGGAGGGAAGTGATTGGGAGGAGAAAGTCTACAAAAGCCTTCCCAGGATGTCAATAATGGAAGAAAAGGGTTGAGAAACACTGGTGTACTGCATGGGTAAAGAGGCTGCAGTAGTTTTTATTTATATTTTTGGAAAGGAAACTTTAGGGAATAAACAAAAGTGCTGATGACAGAATATCTCAGAAACACTTCCCCAGGTCAAAGTGGTTCCTTCTGAGATTTTGCTACTGTGTACACACTGCTTGGTAAACTTTGCAACTTCATAGCCTATCAAAAGGAACTAGACTGCATCCTCTTCCTGTCTCTTCCCTTGGAGTAGCATTTAGCTTTTTGTTGGGGACCTGTTAAAGGAAGATAAACTTTACTTCGTACCAACCAACCATTTTCTTCAGAAAAATCAATTTGTATAGTTCTTACGTGTATATTTTTAGTATATATTCAAATTAAACTGGCAGCTAGTTTTACATAACTGTTTACTCCAAACAGTCAAAATATCTACAAGCTAAGAACATTTCCTATTAGAGCATTAAAACGGCATAAGCCTTAGTGACTTGACTCAGCACTTTGATTCTCATAAATATTTCTAACTAGTATAGATAAGAATCTAGCAAAACAATACCCTTTGCAGCAACATTTAAGTCCTGCTATATATATATATTTATGTGTATATACACATATATATTTTAATAATGTGTGTCAATATGGTTGAGTTGTAAAACTCTTAAAGGGATAAAAGGACACCCTCAAGGAAGACTGGTTTAATTATACCTACTTAAAAATTTCTGGTTAGATAACAACCTCTTTTTTTAAATCAGTGACTATTGAAGCATTGCCTTTTAGTAGTCATACTTTTTAAATATGACTATTAAATGCTTTTTCATATTTAGTATACTGAACCTTTGTTATTTGCTCAAAGTTATGCTTTCTTACCTCTAGACTTTGCACGTGCTGATTGTTTTTACTGGGACACTTTTACCTCTCCTTTGTTTGATTTTGAATCCTTAAGGCTTTGTTTTTAGAGAATTCTGTTAACCCCCTGCTACATGCTCTTATGACACCCATATACTAGTCTTTTTATGTGTACCATTTTATTATAAATGCTTATTTAATTGCCTGGTTCTACCTCTAAAATACAGCTCCTTGAATGAAAACAGTATCTCTTTTGGTTTCTGTTATACTGTTGGCACCTAGTACATAGTATATACTTTTGAATGCAAGAATGACACACACACAGATTTTGCACTTGTGGATTTGCCTTTTCACTAAAGTTATTTTTGAAACCCTTCAATCAATACTTATAGCACTTTCATGGTCATTCACAGACATGTACAGAGTGATGAAAAATTGAAACAGCCTGACATACATGTTCCCAATAGAGTCTGAAAAAGGCAGGACTCTGCCTTCTAATTTTAGTTCTTATACTATAATCAAGTTTCCTTTTTGAGGTATAGTCAAGTAGTGCCACATATTTTGCATTTTTTTGCTTTTTGCTGGTTATCATGCTATTTAAAACGGTCCCAACCAAAGTGCTGCCATGCTGTCTGGTGTTCCTAAGCTCAAGATGGTTGTGATGTGCTTTATGGAAAAAATTTATGTTTAATAAGCTTTATTCAAGAATTAAGTTATAGTGCTGTTGGCTGTGAGTTCAATGTTAATAAATCAATAACGTATAGTAAATAAAATGTTTTTAAACAGAAACACACATAAAATATGATTATGTTGGTTAGTTGACAAAAGTATGACCTACGGCTCACTGGAACCTAGCCCTTTATTTTCCCTAGGAGCAATAGTTCAGTACTTGCTAAATCATTGTTCACAGTGACTTTATAGAACATAATTACACAAATAGTGAGAATTGATTATATGTGCTATTATAAAATAGTGCTCAAATATATATATATAGTTTATATATATATAGTGTTTTATAACTTGATTTTTTTCCCCTATATATCTGTGTGTATCTGTCATGCCCCTATTAAAAATGATGGGTCTTTTTTTTTTTTTGAATCGGAGTCTCACTTTGTCACCCAGGCTGGAGTGCAGTGGCACACACATGGCCACTGCAGCCTCGACCTGCTGGGCTTATGAAGTCCTTCCGCCTCAGCCTTCCAAGTGTCTGGAACTATAGTGCATGCCATCCTGCCTGGCTAATTTTTTGATTTATTGTAGAGATGAGGTCTCACCATGTTGCCCAAGCTGGTCTCGAAACCATGGGCTCAGGCAGTCCTCTCGCCTTCACCTCTCAAAATGCTGTGATTACAGGCATGAACCACCATGCCCGGCCAATAATGGATCTTTATCTTAAATATAATTTATATGGTTAGGTAAGAAAAAAACCAATGGTTTTTTTGTTGTTGTTATTTTAAAGATGTGGGGTAAAATGGTGTATGTTCTTTTATGTTTGTCATAGCATGGAGACAAGTGTGCTAATTTATCTCAGATTAAATGGCTTACCTGGTGTATTGGTTACCTTAAATTGGTTACTGAGTGGATGAGTATATTTTTTCTTAAATCTTTCTAGTGTCTGACTGGTTATAGTGAACATATATTTGCTTTGTAGATACTTTTGTAAAATGTGATTTTTAATTATATTGCATTTCCTTATGTGAAAAGAATACAATTTTGGTTAATTATGGCCTTAAATTCCTATATTTCAGATAGTCAGCGTCTACAGTTGGATCTACAGAAAATGGAGCTTCTAGAAAGTAAGATGAATGAGGAACAGCATTCTCTAAAAACCAAAATTAAGCAAATGACAACTGATCTGGAAACATATAGTGATTTGCCAGCTCTAAAATTATCAGATGAAGAAAAGAAAAAGGTAAATGCTGACTAAGTCTTTCCAAATTGCAATTCACATGGTTTTTTTCTTGATCAATTTTAATATATTTATAGTTTATTAATGAACTATATCATTTGATATATCAGCTGAGAAAAAAATAAAAATATTTACATATGTAGTTGGAATTTAGAGTGAAAGTTTTAAACAAAAGACAAAAATTGAAAAGCAAAGTATAAGCTAGTAAATGCAGAGCATTTCAACAAATATGAACTTTGCTAAATGCAGATTTGATTATGACTCTTCCACACATAAAACTTGTCATTGACCTTCCATTGCCATTTGTATGGGATAGGGACAGATATAGCTGCAATAATAGTTATTAATTTGGTTGATATTAACATAGCTTGTAGTTCAAAGGATGTTTTTACAAACAGGTTTTAGAGTAGTTGCAGCCATGGTGGAATTTTATCAGAATACTGACACTGAAATTATTTAAGCCAAATGTGATTTATTCTGGCTTACTAGATATTTACTATAAAACCTCTTATTTACTTCTATTTGGATCTATTTAGAAATTACATCAGGAAAGAACAGTATTATTAACCCGCAGAAATGCCTTTAAGAAAATAATGGAGAAGCTAAATACAGAATATGAGGCACTAAAAACACAACTGCAAGAAAATGAGACACATTCTCAGGTAAAAAAAAAAATTTTTTTTTTTTTTTTGAGTTGGAGTCTCACTCTGTTGCCCAGACTGGAGCACTGCTCCTGGCCACTGCAGCCTCGACCTGCTGGGCTCCGGTGATCCTTCCACCTCCACCTTCCAAGTAGCCGGAATTACAGGCATGCGCTACCACCCCCGGCTGATTTTTTGATTTATTGTAGAGATGAAGTCTCGCTGCCCAGGCGGGTCTCGAACCCACGGACTCAGGCAATCCACTCACCTCAGCCTCCCAAAGGCACGGGATTACAGGCTGAGCCACCAAGTCTGGCTAAAAAAAAAAATTTTTTTTAAAGACTTTGGAATTTATTTATTATTTCGGATTATCTAGCTTATTCTCTTAGTCTGCATTTTCATCCCAAAACAATCTTTTTTTTTAATTTTTAAACTTGTTCTATATACCTTCCAGATTTTCTGGCTTTGAAGACAGCCGGTTTCTGTACTATCTCCACTTAAAATGAATTAGTCCCTGCTTTCTTACCTATATTGAAAGCCAGTTCTGTGTTAGGCACTGTCTTGGTCGTGACCATTATGATATACTGAATAACATCTTTTTAAAATTTCCAAAGTAAAACATTTCTAATCCAGAAACTTTGAACCCATAAAATTATAATACTGAGTGATCTATCACAGAAACAAAGAACTGAGTACCACATGTTCTCACTCATAAACGGACCTTGAACAATTACCATAATACTTTAAGAAAGGGTTTGGCAGTAGTGGGAAACTGCTCGGGGAGGTGGAAGGGCACATCTCATCAACAAGGGTACCTGCATATTGAACTTTGTATACCTAACCCTCAATGTACCCCACATCTTTAAAATAAAAATAAATAATAAATAATATAAACTTAACTAGAAAAAATTCCCATAAAATTTCAAATAAAATAACCCCAATGACTAATATCCCAACACCTAGAAGAGAGAATTCTTGTCATTTTAGTGTGGGTCCTTTTAGTCCACACCTCTCTCTCTCTCTCTCTCTCTCTGTCAACGCACGCACACACACAATGTATTCACACGTATTTACACATATGTATAGGTACACATTTGTTCCTATATATTTATAAAAATGATATCATATTGTACATATTATTTGGGAGCTTGTTTTTCATTATTAACTATGCATCATATGTACTAACCTATACCAAGATGTATATTTTAAAAATATCATTCTTAATAGCTTAATAATATTCACCTACATGGACATAATTTAGTCAACCAATTTACTTTCTTTGGCCATTTAGACAATTCTAGTTTTAAAGCTATTTAAATAATACTATAAAGAGTAATTCTATCCTTGAACTTGTTAATTTGCATCTTCAATTATTTACATAGAATGTACAGACATATACCTGTTGCCCCTTTTTTATATCACTTATCCTACTGATAATGACCTAAATATTAGGGTCTTCCAGAGTGAGAGCTTTGAGAGGGCAGAGACAATGTCTGTCTCATTCACTTTATTCCCAGCATTGTGCTATTATTGGCACATAGTCAATGCTCAATAAGTATTTGGTACTGACGGAATGAAGCATTATTTCTCATATGTAAAATCAGTAATTATGGTCTAAAAAAGATGGTCATTTTCATATCTAATTCATCTGTATTAGCAATTTTCACAGATGGTTTAAAATGCTAAATGCATTAAAGATTTCCTTTTTTTATATAGTAATATCATGATAGAAAAAAATAATGACATTTGATTTCCTTTACCTAGAGGCAACCATTATTAGCATTTTGGTATAATATCCTTGCAGTCTTTTATTTCCTTTGCAATCATACATGCATGTTGTTTTTACAAAAAATGAAATTATTCTATTTATATAGTCTTTAACCATTTTCTTACTTAAATTTTTTCAGGCTTTTTTCTTTTTTGGTGACATTTCTATAACATCAGATATTACATTGTATAACATTTAAAAACAGCACATACCTTATAATCTTTGCGAGAGGGATGGAATCTCATGAGAGCTTGCCACAACTACTAAATTACATATTTCATGTTTACCGGCCAGTTTATTCTGTCTGTACTTCATAATACACAAATCTAGATATAGACTTATCTTAGGTTGTTTGGAGTGGGAATGAGTGCTGAAGAAGAAACGAGACAAAGTTTTTGAAGTCATGGTCTTAAATAGTTCTTGGGAAAAATTATCAACATTTCTTATGGAATGTTGGTCCTCCTCTTCCACTGAATGAATAGATGATTTACAGTGGTAAACACTTGACAAACACCATTTCTTAGAGTCAGTCAGTGGCTTCCTTGTTTATTCCCACATTAAGTGCTAATTGTATTCCTTTTTTTTTTTTTGAGTTGGAGTCTCACTCCATCGCTCAGGCTAGAGTGCCGTGGCATGCTCATGGCCACCCCAGTGTCGACCTGCCAGGCTCCAGTGATCCTTCCATCTCAGCCTTCCAAGTAGCCGGAACTACAGGCGCATGCTACCATGCCCGGCTAATTTTTATTGATTTATTGTAGAGATGAGGTCTCACCGTGTTGCCCAGGCTAGTCTCGGACCCGTGGACTCAGGCAATCCTCTCGCCTTGACCTTCCAAAGTGTTGGGATTACAGGCTTGAGCCACCGGGCCCAGCCACTAATTGTATCCTTAATTCCATATATTGATAAATAGAAATTGTAACATAAACCACAATTTCCTGTCTTTTGGTGAATCCTAACTGATCGAATTTTGGTCTTCATATATTTTGCAACTATTTTATTAGAAACTGGCTTTTGACGTCTATAAATAATTTTACATGACAGGTTATTTACATAAGTTACAGAGAAAAAACAAGTTTCTCAAAAATAGGTTTGTGCTTCATGATGTCCTTGGAGGTTAGAAGGCAAGTAAATAATATAGATGTATAATGTAAAAGGAATTTGACAATCTGACTTAGTGTTGCTTTTATATCGTTATTCGTGTAGCACTTAAGAGATCTACTACATTATGAGAGGGCTACCTCTTTTTATGAAACAAAGAGAAGAATGTCTGGTACTTGACTTTGCAAAAGGTTATTAGAGAGTTACTGCCAAAAAGTGCTGACTGCTTCCTTAAGTCCGTCTTAACTTCAAGGTCCTATCTGGGGAAGATTGATCTGATTTGGTAGATTTAGCTGACAACATGTATAGTTCACATGATTAATGAGTTATGATTCATTCTAATATCTAAATTTACCTCTTTAGAAGAAACAGTGGGATCAGTGCTACATCAAGCCTGAACTTACACCTGAAAATAATTTTAACATGAGAATAGAAAGAAAAGTTATGAATGCTACTTCAATTATATTTTTTAAATGATCATTACTCCTTTGACATGTCCAGGCAGAACATTATTTTAGTGTTCATTTTTCAAATCATCCTTTGCTTAAAAAAAACTATGTGCATCTTAAAAAAGAAAGACTGTAACCCAGAGTTACAAGGTTAATTAAATCAGAAAAACAATTTAATTCTATAACAGTAAAATTGTCTTCTGAGGAAGCAACCATCAATATAATATCCACATTAGTTTCCTGTTGATGCTGAAACTATTGTAACAATGCCAGCTTTTTACCAGCCTCTTATAATCTTCACTCTGCAGCTCTGCTCTTATCACAGCCTGTGGAATTAGACAGGAAATTTAGCCCTGCAAATAAGGAAGTTTCTCCTATATGGCTGAACCTTTGACAGTGTTTAAATATATATTATATTTGTGGCATTAGACTTCCAGATTTCAAGGAGAGATTCCCAGCGTGTCCCATTCTTCTTTTTTAAGTTCTTTTAGGGAAAGGAAAATCACAAATTATCTATCGCTTGCCATGTATATGGATATAATAAACATTTGACATATTTTCTAATTTGATATATAGAATAAAACCTATTGTAGAATTCAACATTGTATTAATGTATTTACTATTGTTTAATATTTTCTAAGTTTTTGTTGTTGTTGTTTCCCATGGCTTGATCTCAGTATAATGCAAGGAGTTGATGAGATTAGATTTTTTTCCTAATTCTCTTTAAAGGGTAAATAGTTATTTTGAATATGGGTGCTAATTAATATTTTTATTTTATGTTTCTAGCTTAGAAATTTGGAGAGAAAGTGGCAACACCACGAGCAAAATAATTTTGTGATGAAAGAATGTATCCTTTAAAAAACTGCAAATGAATTTGACTGAGTTATTTTTTTCTAGGTATTCTTTTAAAGAGTTAGATGAAATTTAATTCAACACATACTTATCAAATACCTAATATGTACAGAACACTGAGCTAAATTGTATGGGTCATAAATGAATAAGACTTAGTTTCCACTCTGAATAGTTGGTGTATGTGTACCCCAAAGTAACTAATAGAAAGCTGGCTTTGAGATTTGCCAAAAAAGGAGTGCAAAGCCATAATGTGGCATAGTGATTAAATGTACAGGTTTTGGAGTTGGGAGATCTAGTTTTAAATGTTACTACTTACAAGTTATGGACTTTGGATGGTTTAATCTGTTTAAGCCAGAATTTTATCAGCTCTAAAATACAATTAATACTTCCTTCTCATAGAGTTGTTAGAAGAATTATATATAACCATATATAAAAACTGCATATATAGTTATATATATATACACACACTTACATTTATGCAATATATACTATATAGTTATTTTTGTTGATAATACTGGCAGCAAAGGGAGATAAACTAAGTAGGTTCATAAAAAGTCTGACTATGTTCAGCCAGTTCAATTTCATCTTATTTCTACCGAGATATTTATGTCCCTTCTTATCTTTTTGTGTGATCATAGGAGGCAGCAAGCAGCTGCAGAGGACATTTTTGTGGAATTGTAACAAACATTTCTCTAAAAGTTGTTTCCTGTTTCCTTCTTTGACCCGTTCAAAGACATCTTTGCTTGGAGGATTAGATCCCAACTCAGTGGTTCCATAGTTTCTTGTCTAGAGTGCTGCTGAACTTCACCTCATGGGCAGCATGGACCTCAGCTTACCTCCAGATAAGATGTTTTAGGGGCTCTATTTCCAGTGGTTTAAAAGCGGAAGACTTTCATTCACAATATAAGGTCAGCACTCTAGTTTTGTACAGTATAAAGTAGGTGATTTTGAAAACAGAGTGAAATCTGGAAACTTGCCTGAAGTTCTTTGTGGTACTCTAGAGCAGGGGTCCCCACCCCTGGGCCACGGACCAGTCATGGCCTGTTAGGAGCTGGGCCACATAGCAGGAGGTAAGTGGCAGGCCAGTGAGGGAAGCTTTATCTATATTTACAGCCACTCCCCATCGCTCACATTACCACCTGAGCTCCGCCTCCTGTCAGATTTGTGTTGCATTAGATTCTCATGGGAGCAAGAACCTTATTGTGAACGGTACATGTTGAGGGATCTAGGTTGCATGTTCATTATGAGAATCTAATGCCTGATGATCTGAGGTAGAGCTAAGGAGGTGATGCTGTATATTTCATCATCAATTACAATGTAATAATAATATAAAGTGCTTAATAAGTGTAATGCACTTGAATCATCCCCAAATCATCCCCCCCCCACCCACACTCTCTATAGAAAAATTGTCTTCCATGAAACTGGACCCTGTTGCCAAAAAGGTTAGGAATCACTACTCTAAACAACATGGTTCTTTTGAACATTAGATTTTTCTAAGATCAGAATTAAATTGAGATACATAGCATATTAAGTATAAAAAAGTATATAGTAGGCAGATTTTTTTGAAATAAGTTTTGCTTGACATTTTAAGTTTCAATGGATGCTTAATCAGTTAAAATAACATTGTATTTTAAAGTATTCTAATTGTGTTTTTTCTGTACCATCTTATTTTCAGTAAGAAAAATACCATATGATTTAGTTCCTTTCTGAACCACAGTTAGGTAAATATTTTTATTGACATCATTTCTCCTTAACTCATGTAATTAGTCATAGCAACCAAGAGTCAAGAGAGTGACTACCGGCCAATTATGAAAAATGTGACCAAACAGATTGCCGAGTACAATAAAACTATTGTGGATGCTCTACATAGCACTGGCAGAAACTGAATCTAAATCAACTGAAAGTCTCTAAAGTATCTTCTTGTTGCTAAACTTGGTAAAAACTGACTAAAAACAAAACCAAAAAAAAAGCTTACCATTGAAGAGTTTCACCTAAAATTTCTGAATGCTGCAATTTTTTAAATCTCTTTAAAGAGTGACATTTTAAATCATATATTAGTTCAATAAATAGTTTGCAAGAAATATGTCATCTCCTTTTTTATGATATTTGTATTTATTGGTGATAAAAATGTCTCAGGCCAGGTGTGGTGGTTTGTGTCTATAATCCTAGCACTTTGGGAAGCTAAGGTGGGAAGATTGCCTGAGTCCAAGAATTCGAGACCAGACTGGGCAATATAGTGAGACCTCATCTCTACAAAGAATCACAAAATTAGCCAGGTGTGGTTACACACACCTGTAGTCCCAGCTACTTGGGAGGTTAAGATGGAAGGATCACCTGAATCCAGGAGGTGGAGGCTGCGGTGAGCTGTGATTGTGCCACTACACTCCAGCCTGAACAACAGAGTGAGATTCTGACTCAAAAAACCAAACCAAAACAAAACAAAACAAAACAAAACTGTCTAGAACCAAGAGGAAAAGAAACTGAAAGTGACCATCGAGATTTATTTAGTTGGTGTAATTTATCTGTGGCGGCAAATGAGATCATCTTTTCATGTATCAGCTCTAGGAGGGGTGCATGGGGTATGATTCTGATTTTGCACTTATATCAACCATATCAATTTTTGCTACTGGAAAAATACTGTAAGATAGAAGGGAGATTATTAGCTTTGAGCCTTCTCAAATAGGGCATATTTGACGTATATTGGATTATATAAGGTTACAGGTAAATATATCACATGCATTCTTCATATATCAGTTATCCCTAAAGATTTAGAATTTAAAAATTTTAATCTTTGTGTTCTAAAAATATTTTTTCACATATTTGTACACGGAAGAACATGAAGTTTAAGAGAAATTCTGTACTTATGGTGGGCTATACTAGTGTCTGCTGCTGTTCATTTTCACCCTGCAGTAGTCGTTCACTTTCTTGTACTACTAGGAGGACTTAAGTAGATTAATTTATATGCATTAGTCAGAACATTTGAAAAGAAAAGCTAGAAGAGGTAGATTGGAGAAAGAAGAATAGAGTCTGGGAGACATTATAGTAACTATAGGTGTATCTTCTCTTGTGGCTCATGAATTAGCATAAAATATTCTTTAAAACCATTCTTCTTTTGATCTGATAGCATGTTCATCAAGTAACTCTGCTTTTCAATATTCCCAAAATAAACATATTGGTTTCTTATTTTTAAAATATAAATTTATTCAGATATTTATATAACCATAAAATTAACTTGTAAACGGTTTTTTAAAAGTTAATATCACTGTCAATTATTCAACTTTAGTCTGTGTAAATTTTGGTAGAGGAGTGAGCATTGTTGAGTTTGGGTAATTCTGGATTACTAACATGGCTGAAGATACTGGACAATGATACATTCATCAAGGTGCCAATGATAAAATATGTTCCTCAAACCCTGAGTTTTTCTCAGGTTGTCAATGGGTGTTATGCCATCAAAGGATTCATGGTCAAAGAAGTTTAGGAAACACTGTTTGAAACAAAGGTAAATTGTTTTCTTTCTTTTTGGCTGCTCAGAGCAGTTAATATGCTAATGTGTAATAAGCTCAAGAAGAGTATATCCTGTAAAGCACTTCCCAAAAATATTTGTCTACAGAACCTTACTTTCACAGAGTGTAGATCACGTGAGACATGTCATCCTGGAAATAGACTTTGTACATCAAATAGACTGTTTACTAAAATAATTTCATTTCCAAGTCCTTTGGATGGCTCTTTGACCTTGTCCAGTGACTCCTGAGTGTGTCTCTTTCTAGTCATCACAGGGTTATTTTACTATGGTTGTATGGAGTTTTCCACTGGAAATTTGGAAACAAATTGTTTATCAAATTTAAGTTTTACAAGAAAAATACTTTTTGTAGGAGTTACAATGAAATCTGAAATTCAGTAGAAATAACAAATAATAGATTTTGATGGCAGTTTGCCTAGCCCTTCGTTCATTCATAAAGTATTTTCCTGTAATGTAGATACATGCCTGAATACTGAAGAACGTTCCTTTTTCATTCGATAATAACTACCAGTATGAGAGAGCAAAGCTTAGGCAAGAGCACTGACTCCTACAGTGTCTTAATTACATTGACTCTACTTTGTAGTTACTTCCAAGGAGAAAGGAAATCTGGGAAAATGTTTGTGAATAGGTAATCTTTGTTTTCCCCATTTCAAAGCAAATTCAAATGCCTTTACTTTTTTCTTAGTTTTTTCTATTTCTACTTAAGTATTCTTGACCTTTCAGTATGCTCTTTTAAACTAATTACCAATTTAATAATTTTTATAATTAGTAATAATAATTTTTACAATTAGTAGTAAATTTTTCTGAGTGGTGGGACTGTGGGTGATTTAATCTTTGGGCTTTTTGGTATTATCAAAAGTGTCTGTGATGCACCTATAAGATTTGGAAATGCCCCAAATTTTTTAAGATCCTATATACAGTTACTACTTTAACTCGTGGACGGGATAGTAAAAATCCTGCAGTCCTTGGCTCTAACTAGAACGGAACAAGTCTTTACCCAGAAAGAAAGTAAGAGGAAGATTGGCCTGTTCATTAAATATGCTTGCATTATAACAATGGGAGGTTTGGCAGGAAATTATTTTTTTCTTTAGAAGCAAGGTTTCCAACTTCCGTCTTAAATTACTCATTTTATATATGATATTTGGGGAACATAATTTAGCAGGATTTCTTTAAAGCATGTTTTATCTGAGGGAAATTCTCATTAATGTTTCTTCCTTCCTCTCGAGACCTTTTAACAAACCCAACAAGAATATTCTCTCTGCTGGGATGGAACTGGAGAGTAATATCTGTATGAACCAGCTCTTTCTCAGACAGTTGCCTTACTCAGAGAGTACCGTTCATGCTAAAATAACACCACGTAAGTCATGGGGAAAGAAACTGCAGACTATATAAACATGCTGAGCAGCTTTACTAGTGTAGATCAGTATGGGAAAGCAAGTCTCTGTTTCTCCATTCTTCAATCAGTAAATACATATGAGTTCTTGATATTATTTTTTGCTAACTGTGGAGTCCCTCATTTGGACCATTATCTAGTCTTAGGTTAAGGTACAAATTCAGTGTGGGATAAGAGGATTAGAATGGAGTAATGATATTCACACTAGAGATGAAGACCAGTTAAAGTAGCGCCAGGGGTTCCTCATGTCCCCTTGCTCAGTTTCTCTGCGGCTCTTCCCTTTTGTTGTACAATTGCAGTACAAACAACTTTAGGAAATTACAGTGTTTAGACTTAAAGTAAGAAGAAATCAAGATGAGCAACTAGATAACTGTAATAATCTATTTTAAAATTGATACAGTATCTTCATTTTCATAGACCTTTCTAAATAAAAGTAGATTATATCAAAATTGCAGATTCTGGTTTGAGAACTGAAATTGAACATCTTTAAAAAGACAATTTTTTCTTTAAAAAGACAATTTTTTAATACAAAGGTAGAGAATTTAGGAAAGACAGATAAACAAAATAAAGAAAATAAATTACCTGTGATCTCAGCAGACTCTTTAGACATGCATCTATACATATGTCACACATACCTGTTTCACTTAGATATCTATGCATATTCAATAAAATTAAGATTTTTTTTTTGAGTTGGCATCTCATTCTATCACCCAGGCTGGAGTGCATGCTCATGGCCACCGCAGCCTCAGCCTACTGGGCTTACGCGATCCTTCCGCCTCAGTCTTCCAAGTAGCTGGAACTACAGATGCATGCCACCACGCCCGGCTAATTTTTTTTGTGATTTATTGTAGAGATGAGGTCTCACCAAGCTGCCCAGACCGGTCTCGAACCCGCGGGCTCAGGCAATCCACTTGCCTTGGCCAGAATTACAGGCTGAGCCAAATATCATTATTTGTAAACTTATTTTTGGTATTGATAATTTTGCAATCATTTTTCCATGTCATTATACTTATACAATATGTTAAATCATGGCATATTATTTAGTTACAGCAGTACCTTCTAAAAATACATCTCATATTATTGAGTGAGTTTATAGTTTAGAGGATAAGTGTAAGCATTGGATTAGATATCTGGGCATTCGAATTTCAACTCCACCACTGACTTGTTATATGACCTTGGAAAGTTACTTAGTATCTCTGAATTTCAGTTTCTTCATCTAGAGATGGAATAATAAAGATTAACTCATAAGATTAGGTCAGAGGGTGTGCAGAATCCAAGACTTCTGACACAAATCACTCTGGGAAAGGTGGCATCTATGTGGTGTATAAAAGTGTTTTTTATCATCCAGGTTGACAATGCACCTCCTCCTTTGTTTTACTTTTTTTAAAGTATACATTAATAAATGTTTAAAACATTAACAAATTGTCTCCATTATTACAATAAGAAATTCTGCTGTATTTTAATTAAACATATACAGAGTGTGTTTTCATACTCAAAACTTAGAAAAAAGTCTAATTTTTAAAAATTCTAATAAAAATTTTTATCCATTATAGCTTTGCAATATACAGTAAAAGCTAATGCTTGCCGGCCATTTTTAGAAGATATTAGATTATACTTTGCTGCTTCAGTATCTTCTCTCATCATGTATTATAATGAATTGCTGCTCTGAAAACCTGACTGTATAACTAAAAAAGGAATAGGAATAACCTGTGTGGTGGTAATCTACTTTGTAACCAAGGCTATTCTGATTGCTCATTTTCTCTGCCTTCCTACAAGTCACGTAAATGACAATCTATGTCACAAGAGAGAAAATAAATACCCATTTATTTACCGGAGAGTTCAGTATACAAGAGGATTTGGAGGAAGCATGAGTCAGAAGTCAAGTCATCTACTACCTAAGAGGCTCAGTCATACTAGATAAGGCTTTCACAAGGGAAATTTAAAAAGTAAAATGAAGTTTTCAAAATTAACTAGTTTTATTTCAAAATATTTTTGTAAAACAGTATTTTACCATGATAACATGGCAATACCATGGAAGAAAGGCAGACAATCAGTTAAAATTATATTTGGCACTGGGTGAAGAAAGAACTTATTATATTAGCCATTTAAGATTAGAAGACAATAGCTTTGCTAACTCACCACACTGAAATATTATCTCATTTT